CGGGGCGGCGTCGGCGGCGTCCGGGAGCGGCGCATCGCTGGGGCGATCCATGCACGGGAGCCTTGAATGGTTGAGTCGGAGGGTGGGGATGGAGGGGCGAGGGGCGGTGAGGAGGAGGAGGACGGGGGGTTGCTGCTTCACGGGGAAGGCTGCTGGGGGGCGTGGGGCTCAGGGCTGCTCCTCAGCACCTCCATAAATCCCGGCAGAGAGCGAGGCTGCGGAGGGAAAGGGAAAGATGGTGGGTAAGGGTGTCGTTCTCCTCGGGATGGCTCCAAGGAAGCCCTTGGCTGGGGTGGGAGGACCAATGTTCCCTCCCTGGAAGTGTTCAAGGGTAGGTTGGATGGCGCTCTGAGCAACCTGATCCAGTGGGAGGTGTCCCTGCCTATGCAAGGGGCTTGGAACTGGATGATCTTTAAGGTTCTTTCCAACCCAAACCGTTCTGTGATCTGACACACGGTGCCCCAGAACGCACCCGTACCCGCTGCATCCCGTACAAGCTTCCCTGACCGTGCTCATCTTCCCGGGAGATCAGAAAGCAAGGTGGCTTTTAAAGAAAACAGCTCAAATATCATCTGGAAAGCTGAAATGGCACTGAAATCCCACGGGGACAACTCACCAACAAAGGAGAAAAGCCCATGGCAGGGAAGGGACCCACACCATCACCCAGCTGGTGAATTTAAGCACCCGAGCCACACAAGCTGACACCCCCAGCACCCATCCTGTCCCCACAAGACCTCACCTTCGTGCACCCCCAAATGCATGGCAGATACTTTCACCCCCAAGCTGGCACTGCCCAAACCAGCTGCTGCTGCCCTTTAATCAGCCACACGCTCCCAGCGCTGCTCAAGCGGCTCATGGCCACCAAATGCACCACTAATGCTCTTAGGACAACTAAGCTGCCTGCAAATGAGCTTCTCGGGGGCAAGGGGGGGGGGGGAAAGCAGAGGTGGGGGCAGTGAGCAGGCAGTTCTGCCAACCCTGGTGATGGATGCATGTCCCTGCTGGCTCCTCTGCATCCCCATCACCACTGCAGCATCGCAACCCCGGGGCATCTCCACCTCCCAGGATGGCAGTGGGAAGAATCCAATTCCCAACGTGGAAATGCTCAATCTCTGAGAGAGGGTGGGCTCAGAGGGTGCTGCCAAGCCCTGCTCGGAGTTAAGGGAAACCCAGAGCTTCCCTGGGTTGTTTCCCACCAGACTCTTGTTTTGAAGCTGGTCCCTTCCCCGGGTCAGCAGCTGCTTAGCGCCAGAGCCTCAAAATAGACCATAAGCACATAAGTAACCCATGTCTGGCTGGCATGCAGCCCCTCACCTCTCCTCCTGATGCCCCAGAGCCCAGAAACTTTCCCTTCTGGGATGTTTAATCCCAATGCAACCAGACGAAGTGGGAGGAGGGAGGTGTCCTGAGCACTGACCCAGCTCATCGCACCGCCCAGGTGCTGCCGCTTGGCTCCATCGTGCCTGAGCATCATCTCCAACCCCATTTGCTGGCTCCTACTTCACTAGCAGGCCCCAGGAATGAAAAAATAAAATCAAATGGCAAAACAATCAAACACCAAAAAAAGAGAAAAATAAAAATCAAATAGCAGAGGGGACAAGGTGCCACCAGGCGAGGTGGCAGGGGGAAGTGGGGCTGCTCTCCAAAACATGCCCAGCATGGCTGCTAAAATCGTGGGCTTTCCTGCTGGCAGGGCACTAGTTCTTTATTTTCACCAGCATGTGCAAGCCCAGACACACAGCACATCCTTGCACCCATGAGTTTACAGCTGGGATTTAGGAAAGGTTCTTAGAGAGGGGTAGGAGCTGGGAAAGGGCCAAAACTCCAGGGGATTTTGGCATTGAGCCCTCCCCAGCTCCTCCACAGACCCTGATGTGTTCCCTTTCCCCCTCCAACTTGTCCCAAATCCCTCTGTCAGCTACATTACATCCTGACTCCCTGTTTTTCCTGTAAAAAAACCCAGGTAACACTACCCTAGAACCAGGAGGAGATGGGATGGACCCAGCTCTGCTCTGGGATTAGCAGTGTTGACCCGTGGACTCCTTCAGTTAGAATGTGTTGGGTTTTTCCTTTTCTTTAGGATGCTGAAGAAAAACCCTCCCTGGAAGTGTTCAAGGCCAAGTTGGATAGGGCTTGGAGCAACCTGGTCTAGTGGGATGTGTCCCTCCCATTGCAGGGAGCTTGCAACTAGATGATCTTTAAGGTTCCTTCCAACTCAAACCATTGTCTAGGATTCTATGAAAACTAATAATTTGCAAGGATGCTTTGTGAAGTTCAAACCCAGCCTGGGCTGTAGGGATGAGTGGGACATCCCAGGGGGAATTTTTGGGTCAGATTCAGAGCACCTCAGCCCCAAGGCAATGCTGATCCCCCTTGGGGCAGCTCACCCTCCCCAGCTGGACCATGGCAGCTGGGATCTTTGCTCAAACTTTACAATGCTCTTGCAATATGGGAAGAGAAATTTGCTCTCTTCCCTGGCTTAATGTGACGTTCCCACCCATCACTTCTCTTGCAGGGTCTGTTCACTTCCAAAATGAGCATTAAGGTTGGATGGGGCTTGGAGCAATCTGCTCTGGTGGGAGGTGTCCCTGCCCACGCAGGGGGGTTGGATCTAGATGATCTTTAAGGTCCCTTCCGACCCAAACCATTCTATGATTCTATGAAACTGTGCCTGTGTCTAACAGTGTCCTGGATTAAACCCACCCCCTGTGAGCACCAAGGCCAGCATCACATGCCAGGAGCTGGAGCTTGCTCCCCACCAGCACCCAACACCCAGTTCCTGCTCCCTCGGTGCTCTGGACACCATCTGATTTTTTATTGGCTTGGGCATGCTCACTGCCAGTCATGGACGTTCACTGGGACCCGTACGAGAACAACGAGTGCTCCTTTCCCACAACATCTCCCCTCCCGTGGAAGCGTTTCAAGTATTTTGGGAATTGCACATCCCAGCAACCCAGCCCCAAAAGCTCATAAATCCCTGATGGATGTTGAATCGCAAACCATCCCCGGCGCTACCGGCTGCGCTGCCAGTCACCAGCCCTGAGCACGGCAGAACAGTGTGGAAAAGGGTATGTCAGCTAAAATGAATGACCTGCCAAGGGAATAAATATCCTGCTGACTTCAGCACTATCTAGAATTATTAATGGGTTGGGTTGGAAGGGACCTGAAAGATCATCCCTGCATGGGCAGGGACACCTCCCACCAGACCAGGTTGCTCAGAGCCCCATCCAACCTGCCCTTCAACACCTCCAGGGATGGGGCAGCCACAGCTTCCCTGGGCAACCTGGGCCAGGGTCTCATCACCCTCACAGTGAAGAATTTCTTCCTAATGTCTAACCTAAATCTAACCTCTTCAAAACCATTACCCCTTGTCCCATCACTCCATGCCCTTGCGAAAGCCCCTCCCCAGCTTTCCTGGGGCCCCTTCAGGCACTGGAAGGTGCTCTAAGGTCTCCCTGGAGCCTTCTCTTCTCCAGCCTGAACAGCCCCAACTCTCTCAGCCTGTTTCCCCAAAAAGAACTTTAAGATCATGGAGTCCAACTGTTAACCCAGCCACATCCACCTTAAGCACCAACCTCCCTCCCTGCCTACAACCCAAAGGAGAGGTGATCACAGGGCTCTCCTAATGACTCCTGTCCAACTCAAGTGGTTCCATTACCATAGAATCATAGAATCATCATTACACTGATTCAAAGAATCATACACATAATGACTTTGGCTTCCCAACTGCTCAGAGATGGACGCTGCAACAGCAGGGATGGGGCTGCTCTTCCTCCTGGCACCTTGAGGCAAAATAAAGGCCAGGGCTGGACCTGTGAGCAGATGCCAGACCTCACAGCTATGCTGCTGGTGCTCAGGCCAGCACCATGCAGTTGGCCAGGTTAGGTTTTCCTAAGCACAGTGACTCCCCAGGCAAAGGAAAGTGGAAGGTGCCCCTGCCCATGCATGGGGGTTGGGACTGGATGATCATTGAGGTTCCTTCCAACCCAAACTGTTCTATGAATTCTATGATTTACTCAATCTCTCTCCTGGTTTGAGCCCCCACAGCAAGGCACCAACTGGCCCTTTCCCCTTAGGGCTGATCAAGTCCTACCCTCCCTGCTCCCAATCCCACCCCTGCCATGAGCATTGCCATCACCCTGAAAATGGACTGCAAGTTTCTGAGCCATTTATCCCAGTTTATTCCCACTTAGGACTTCTGCACACACCTACCACTGCCATAAGTGACTGCAGTGAGCAGGTCTATGAGGTTTGGTCACATGCACAAGCTGACCCAGCACCACCATCAGCAGCAGCAGCACCACTGCCATCTCCAACACTGTCACCAGCACCAGTAGCACCACCAGTGACACCACTGCCACCATCACTGCCAACAGCACCACTGCCACCACCACTGCCACCACCACCAGCACTACCACAGCCATCAGCAGCACCATTGCCACCAGAACCACCAGGACTGCTGCCAAGGAGTAGAGGTTCCCAGGGTCTAGGGAACCACAGTACTGTCCCCAGCCCTCAACCCCAGCCAGGGCCTGGCCAGAGGAAAGTAAAT